AGCGATTAGCACGCAAAGTCTTTCAAGGTTAAGACTTTCTTACTTTTACCATTCCGACCCATATTTTAACGCATACATCCGATGCGGCACCATGGACGAATTCTGTGGACAACTGTCCTGTCTTGTCCGGATTACCGCAAGTATGGATATCGATGCCGTTGCCGCGGTATGAATGTTAAACCGACCGCCCACCAACGTCAGAACATCGCTTGAGACCACTTTAGGCGCTCCTATAGAGGGCGCGCATCAGTCTGGAATTGTCGGCCGATTTGGAACACCCGATTCCATTCGTGCACGTCAGCGTAATACCCAGTGTTCTGGTTTAGGTGAAGTTCTCAACTTTGAAGATGATTGTTCGTCAGCTGTATTCCCAATCTGCAAACCATAAATGTCAGACCAGATGGCAGTGCCACCGGTCACCAACAACGAGTTGACTGAAGTGATTTACTAAAATCATCCGTAATGCGCTATGCAAAACGCTTTTGCAATCACTTATTCATCCAACTTGATATATCTAAGCAGTGTACGGGTTTCTGGAGCTGGAATAGAGCGCGCATGATGATTCCGAACGGATTGTGATTACAACCCCACCGAAACTGTGCAACGCCGTCTAACCAACTTCGAAATGGCCTGGAGCACTGCGTGATTGCGAAGACCCTATTGCTATCCCAACTCACCTAATGCACATGTCTGATAAAGACATTCTTGGGTTGAGTACGATAGACAGTTTATTCACTCTCCATGACGTCAGTGCGCGGATCATGGTTGATCAGTTGAACTGAAATCTGCGTTACTGGAAGCTACGCGTGTTTCCTTATAGCACATTGTTTCAGCACACATGCTCATGATTCATTTGATCACTCAGCGTTTGCCATCTGCTCTTCCACCATCGATGAATCGGCTGTGCATGCACTGTATGGACAGTTACTAGCTTGTTAGACGAACTAGCAGTTTTGTTGCAAACGTTTCGTCACAAGTCCAGGTGACATCATCAACGCGCTAGTGTGTAGCGCAGTGGAGCGACACGTAAGTGTGAACCAAATAGTCACGCGCGTGCATTTTTATGAGACATCGTCATCGGTCGTTTGGGCATGTGACCTTTGGGAATAGCCTCTTTGACCCATGCCTTGTGACCACGGCCCATTTGTTTCCCTCGCAGAAAATGCTGCATTAACTGTTTGTATGGTGTACTTTTCCATTAAGATCGTTCGACTGCGGTGGTGGTCTTGTGCTCATAGATTTGCGTGAATGGCGTCCAATTCAACGTGTCGATTGATCCAATTGTTCATAGGGTGCCACGCTTCTAAGAATTCTCTTGGCTGCTTCGTATTCACATGTGCTAGAATCTTTACGTTTTCCAGGTCAAAATGATGACCAGCTTCATCCTCGTGTATCGAAACTAATGACCAGCGGCCATGCCTTCTTATGCTCTGCGATCTGTGTGGAAAACTTTCACCCTCTTTGTTCGATGTAGTCCTTATCACATTCGCTACAGTTTCTTTCGTAGTTTACATTTGTTTGACTGTCTTGTTTGATTTCATTATCCGATCTTACAAGGAACCCTCCCAGAGTAGCAGTTAGCCAGCCCATAGCCTTAAGGATCACAAGCCTTGGTTTTTGTGCTACGGTGAATCTGTGTGGCTGAACTAACCGTGCTGCTTGTTCAGAAGCGTTATTGATGTAAGGAAGCACTGCCCGTTTATTTGTTTGTTCCAGCCGCTGCTGCGGTGTTACCCTTTTAAGGCTTTTTCTAATAAAGTTTCCTGGATATCTATTGTTTTGTAACACGTGGTACAGATAGTTCTCCTTCTTTCTCAAGCCCATTGTACGGCCATGTGTTACCCCTCTCTTGAATAGTGTTTGGATACAGCTTCTTTTGTGGTACATCAGGTGGTGGCACGTAATCTTAAGGATCACTAGCCTGCCTTGTAATCCGAGGTGCGGGATCCAGCCTGCGTAGGGACCCGGCGACCCTCGCAGTATCCTTATCCCACATGCGACCGGTGGTTGTTGCTCGACAGCGAAGCGTTGGCACTGCGTACTGCCTGCGACCTTTGTCTTTTTTACTGTGCTCGTCCAATATTTGATCCATGTGTGTCTTCTTCCGATATGCACAATTCTGAAGTGTTCTATCGACATCCCTGTGAACCAAAACATTCAGCTCAATCGTGAACTTGATGTCCTCGAATGTGTTGTTGATCAAATCCTGCGTAAGCTGTACTAAATTTCATTTCACCATGACAAATGTACCGTCAACGTATCGGATCCAAAACTTTGGTTTGGTCAGCGGCATGGTAATACGACCCAACTTTTGCATTACGGCTTCAGCAATGACCCCTGATATGGGTAATCCCATGGATGTTCCTTTCAGCTGTTGATATATTTGTCCATCAAAGGAGAAATAAATGTCATAGTTCCAACAGTTCTCACACACCTACCGGTTGCATCTTTCTTGTTGTGCTCGGATGATTCTGAAGTAATCCCATCTTGCTCTCCTTGGCAACTTTGTGGTTGATCGATGTGTAAAGACAAGTAACACAGAATGACAACATAATTTCATCGTCCTCTATCTTGACACCCCGGAGTCTATCGATGAACTGTATCATTGTTTATGCTTTGCTCGGACCCGGTAACGAGGGGTTTTAATTTCCTTCAAAGATTCTTTGTTAGCTTGTATGACGGTGTACCTGATAGCGAGAAGATTTGTGCACATCCGGTAGCCCATATAGTTGTGCAATATTAGTGTCTTTGTCTTCCATATTCCATCGTTCTTGGTTGATGACTTCATTTGTTGCTTACAGTTTCTCCAGGGTTGTGTTGATTTGGGTGACTAGTTTTGAGTTAGGACCTTTATCGTTGTAGCGATGAATAGTCGTTTCGGATAGCTGTTTGGTCTTTTCAATGCAATCCGGTTTATCCAATACCACTACTATGTGTCCTTTGTCCGTTGGCAGGATTACGACATGGTTTTCTCTCTGTAGGTTTCTGAGCGCTTCTTGTTCTTTTATAGAAAGAGATTTTGTGACTTTGTTTTGGTATATGAACGGTACAATTGTTTTGCGAACTTACTTCAGAAATTCTGACAGTCCGTTTGTCCTCGAAACATGTTCTATCCTAGCCGAATAATCCTTGTGGGGAGCACATCTGACGTTACAATCGAGCCCTTTGATTAAAACGTCCTTTTTAGTTGTGTTGAGTAAGCGACGCTTTAAGTTTATGATTCATCTTCCACTGTTGATATGGTCTACCTTCTTGATGAGCTTGTTCAACTCGGCACTTAATGCTAATTTACGTTGGTTTCTCCTCTTGCTCACTCGATGATAGATTGCGGATCCAAAGTCTGCGTATTTTTTGGTACATGCAACAATGAGACAGTTCTATTACCTTTTATGGTTTTTCCTACTTGCATAGACGATTGCCAGCCTGTTGTCACCAATTTTACCATACGCTTCCAACACTGTCTGGCTAGAGATCAGGCATCTGGATGGACTAAGGCTGCTCTGTGATTCGTACTTGGTGTAAAAACATTTGTCCTCCGACATTCATGGAGGAAACATGGTCGTTCGCGCGTGGGGGCGTCGATAAGCAACGTATTCCTAGCGACGAGCTTGATGTAGCATTGTACGCCCGAATAGCTCTGATACAGAATTAAAATGGGTTATTCATTTGTTAAACTGTTCGCTGAGCTTGGCAAATTTGTTGCAACGTTTCGTCACAAGTCCAGGTGACATCGTCAACGCGCTAGTGTGTTTCGCAGTGGAGCGAGAAGTCACGCGTATGCATTTTTATGAGTCAGCACCATCTGTCGCTTGGACATGTGACCTTTGAGAATAGCCTCTTTGACCCATGCCTTGTGACTATGGCCCGTTTGTCTCCGCAGCTGCAAATCCTGCCTGAGCTGTTGGTATGTTGTCCCTTTCCATTAAGGTCATTCGACTGCGGTGGTGGTCCTTTGCTCGTAGATTCGCACGTCCATTTCAACGTGTCGATTGACCGAGTTGTTCGCAGAGTGACATGCTTCTAAGAATTCCCTTGGCTGCTTATTCCTACATGCCAAAATCGTCTTGTTTTCCAGGTCAAAATGATGGCCAGCTTCATATTTGAGTATCGAAACCAGGGAATAGGGGTAATGCCCTTTGGTCAGCTTGGCAAACAAACGGGCCATGTTCACAAAGCATGGGTCAAAGAGGCTATTCTCAAAGGTCACGTGTCCAAACGACAGATGACGAGAGAAGCATACGCGCGTGACTATCCGTTTCACACTTACGCATCGCTCCGCTCCGCTACGCACTAACGCACTGATGATGTCATCTCGATTTGTGATGAAACGTTTGCAACTAAATTGCCAAGCTCAGCGAACTGTTCGTATAACAAATAAAGAGCTTGAGGTACCTACATTTACTTATATATCAGTTACCAGCTTGAGTGAAGTGTGTGATGTTGCATACTATCTGCTTGCCTGACTGCGGAGAACAGAGACGAAAGAACCAGAAGACTATCTATGGGACCAGTCCCATTATCATTCTTAGTACTCGAGGCTTAGCTGTGCTCATTTGCTTTGATCGCCGGAACTAACTGCTGTCCGAGTTGATGGTCTACTGCGGCGCCTATGAACCAATAACTCAGTGCTGTAGTAGGTCGTGGAAATACCTCGTTTTAGTCTACCGCAAGAATTGCACAGCAAGTGCCTTTGAGTTCCAGAAAGTTTCCTCCGACGGTTTCTCGTGTTCACTGTGGTGATTATGTTTTGCGAGACCGAGTTCACAGTGGGTGCCAGTGATTACCGATATTGGATAACAGTGTCATTGCACAGCATATCTTATTCTTGATGAACAGCATATATAACCAATAGAGGATTTATTTTAGTATATCTTGCACCCACATATTTTAAGCACTTAGATGGCACAGTGCAGGGGTACTACCCTGTCTTCAGTACCACACTTAGAACCATAGTGACAAAATACTCTGCATCTTTACACATTGACATCCCTCGAATTCAGCACTCCGTTCAAGCAGCAAGACCTATGCGCAAAGGGCGTGATCACCACAGAACGTCGTCCAGGGCTTCATCCAGACAACAGACCTCATCGTCCTCCGTAGCCGAGATCGTGGAAGATACGGTGAGTCACCACCTTTGAATCCTCACTTTTGTGTAATGAAGTTCCGACGAACCTACCGAGCGGTCCCATCTCGTTAGAAGATGAAGACGTAGGTGATTTAATGAATGTCAAGTCAAGAATTCGCTTTTATGCACCCATTAAGGGTGCATTTTCCGCGATCACACACGCGCGATCGAAACGATAAAAAAGTTTATAATACATGCAAAAACAGTAAAAAAGCGACGACTTAAACAATGTTTCTTGCATGGTACAGGATCACTAACATCATTTGCTGTTTAGTTCTTGAGTGATACTGTTCGGATCAAGTAGTTATCTAGGTATGAATGATGAGCCGTAGACCTGCGTGCGGGCATATATGGCTCTGTAGTTTCCTCGCGTTGAGGAACTATATTTGCAGTTGGATAAAACGCTACGTAAAGGATGGCTGATATCGGTGAGTATTTTCGAAGCAAATTTTGCGCATGAATTAGCATGAACAGGTACAATGTGTTACACTAACGTTGGTTTAGAAATGCCACTGCCTCGAGACATGTGTTTCAGCAACCAATGAAGTAGTTTGAAATGCTTACCCAATAGGCCCGGAAAGATCACGGGAGAACAGTAGGTCCAATGTGATAGAACACATACAATGATGAATCGCAGGACCAACTGCTGGGAGACTGTGGACGAACTAAAACCTGAGACATAAAAGGACAGTCACCTGACTTTGGTGAATACTTCATTCACGTGAATTGACCACGATAAGTCATGGCTCAGTGTGATTCTCAGATACTTCACTGACGTCGAGAAGCTCAGGCTTTCACCACTGATGTGAAGTCGGGGACAGTCAGCGACGAGTTTCTGGTAACGATCTGTCTTATGTACTTGGAAACATTCAGCGTTGAGCCGCGGGAGTTAGACCGATGCATGATTTTATCCAAACATATCAAGGTCGAAGAGGCTGATGTTTCGCACCGATTAGTACGTCATCGGCGGGTTGTAGCATTATGGCTTCTTCAGGGAAAGGGATAGGACCAACGTAGGTAGAGAATATGAATGGCTCCATGAAGGACACCGGAACTGGGGGTGAGGCAAGGAGCTCCTGCCGTTGAACGTGGTTATCTGAGTACGTTTGGCATAATAATCCTATAGCAAGGCTATGGATGCTTGGCTACCAGAAGCCAGGAGATCTTGCAACAACATTTCCCGGTTAACACAACCGAATGCCTTGGTGTGGTCAAGAAAGCACACACGTGTGGCTTTGTTCTTGTTGTCTAGCGACGATAGCACTGAGTGCACTAGGCAAGCCACTGCATCTTGTGTCGATCTTGAACTTCGGTATGCAAATTGATGTGCTTCATTCAAACAGGATTGGGTTATCAATTGTTCAGTGAGTTTCTCGAAGACTTGAAACCACTGATGTGCACGCAATAGGTCGATATTTACCTGTCGCCTCAGTATTGTTGTTATGCTAGCAGCTCTCCAACAGTCTGAGATCTTGCTGTGGTTTAGGCACATGGTGTACAACTAAGCTAGCGGTTGGACTAGTGAATCCAAACACTCCTTAAGGACGAAGGGTGACAATCGGTCAGGTTCGCTTGATTTATTTAGCTGGGTAAGCTTCCTGTGAAGTGCTGCAACATCAACAACTGGCGATGAGTCTGTAAGCCACTGAGTCTGTGCAGATGACGAGTTGGGGAGTGAGTCACTGGAGCAGCAGAAGCTGCGATTCAATTCGTTTACGTCTGTCAGAGTTCATACTATGACGAGCGACTCCACCAAATTGTTTCATCATCTGCCAAATCTCACGACCAATATTGTTCCCCAGAATTGTTTGAAACTAGGCATGATTGAGGTGGTGAATTTCTTCCCTGATGCATAGAGAAAGAAACTTTACTGAGGCACGATCTTTAATTTTGGAAGCTCTCACCTTAAGTCGACGCAGCTGCTTGAGGCGCGGTGAGTAGAACCGATCAGCACGAATAGTTCCCGTCGGATAGCAGAGATCAAAACAAAAGTTCAGATAACTTGTCATCCGGTCACAATAATGTTGAGACATCTGCGTCGAAAAACTGAAATCTGTAGAGGCAACCATTTCTTTCAGTTGTGCTATGTTTGGGGGATTGGTTTGTCCTCGTTTATTTTTACGTTCCTTGCAACGAGTGACTTCCTTGTGGTTCGTTTTACTGTAGACGACAGAAGATGGCTTGACTATCGAATGCTTCCAAGGGGGGCTCGAGTACTGCCTGAAAATATTCGCAGGTTCTTAACATACACTAAGTTCAGGGTTGCTTCTAACCCAGTGGAACATTTCTCGTTCTGTAGTCCAAGTGTTGTGAGGAATGTGGTATGAAATCTTTTGAAATCACCAGCAAATATGCATAGGGAATGGTCTGTGTGCAATGACAGCAGCCGTGAAGTCCTCGCAAAATTTGTCTGCGTCTGTGCTTCGACAACTAAGGAATATATGGATGTTGGCTAGCGACATTGAGTTGTTTCCACTCCTATTTTGGCGTGTACTTTAGAACTAAGCGATCGATACGTTGCGGCGAATGGTAGAACATTTTATTCCCTGGTGACAACACCACCACCCCGATTGCGGAACCTGCATGAACGATCAACCCGGTAGAAAATAAAACCGTCAACTGCTACAGTAGCGTCTTTGTGAAGCCAGGTTTCATGTAGCATAATTACTCCTAACTGCGTGTATTCTCGACGGCAGATGGTGCTTTTAAGGTCTTCCATTTCTCCAAGAAGTGAGCGGACGTTGGTGCTGAGAAAAACAGGTATGCTCATACTCGGCAAAATTTTTCTTCCGCAGAGCAACCGTCCACCCAGCATGATGCTTTGCAAATTTTTTACGTTTTTTGTAGATTTTCCTCACCTTGCTTCATGTCATGTTTTTCGCACCACTGTGGTTTACACAGCACCTTCCTAGCCTATGCACAACACTCAAAATCTGTTTATTCGCGCAATCGAAATGAGCAACAACGAGAGTCAAAGGGTATGGAAGGAGTGCCACGCGCTTCTCTATGTCTTCCTCAAGACAAGGAACGATCTGGATGAAAATTTTTACTGGGTGTTAATACAGCCTGTTTTCTATCCCTATTCACGTAGTTACTATGCAGATGACAGAACCGGCGTTTCTCGTTCTAGTCGTAGATAGTTTGGACGGATTACTGCTTGCAACTGCCTCGTAAACTGCACTATCGTCATGGCTCCATCGGTACCACGGATTCTCCCATATCACACTGGGAAGGTTCGGGCGATCAGTCTTTTAGTTGACCTTGTAGGAGCACGCAGAAAATATGGTTACGTCTTGCCACATAATTGGGTGTATTTTATCTGGGCGTAGCTGATTTTGACGAAAGTTAATTGAATTTGTTGCCGAGTTAATTCGCGCATCACTTGTTGAAATCAGTGGGCGAAACTCGGGAGCGCTCTGCATACTATGGCACACCAAACAATTTAAGTTATTCCATTCTTCTGTGGCCTTCGACGGAACATGCAATTTTTCAAAGCGATTGTGAATCAGTGTTTTTCGGTTGTGAAATTAGTGTGTGGTAAAAAAAATACAATTGATTTGCGAGTCAAATCGATGGCCAATTCGACCGATCCATCCCATCGGCGTGCATCACTTGAGCCACCAAAGTACGCCTTCATTAGGTTTCATTGTACTGCACTTTAGCGCTTGAGATCAGCATAGTCGAAAAATATATCGTTTTGTCTATTTATCTATTTACACACGAACTGAGGGACCCACTTTCCAATTTGTAGCCAACGGAGAACACTGGTCCCCCAGCGCGAGTTCAGGTGAGTGTTCCGTTCGCACTTTTCGCATCCGTCTGAGATAATCGTAAATCATTCAAACGGTAACAGTCCAATTGTGAGAAAATTACTTTTCTATACATCTATTTGAATGTGTACAATTATGAATCGTGCTGTTCGAAACGAACAGCTATTTCTAGCTTGGTACAAATTTGATGGGTCGCGTTTGTGCGGGATAATGGAGAGCAATGGAGGCTCGTCGGACGCAACTACAAATGGTGATCAATTTATACTCACTGCAACAACATGAAATCAGCCGGTTAGGATACGCCGAGTTGGCATTCACGGTACTCATACACCGTGAGTAGCTGAGTTTTTATTCGTTGACGTTTCAGGCTATAAAGTCAGTAAACGCAAGTTATGGGATAACTCAGTCATTTCGTGCAAGTTTATCAATCACAGCCGTGCAGCTAACAACGGAGATTGCAGAAAAATATAGGCGTATCGATTGCTGGCCAACTAGTGTCCAATCAGTATGCTTCGCGCTACCACGCAAGACTCAGTTGCAGTCAACTGTTTCCGTACCCAGAGCTGCGGCCGTTCTCGATCATGGCTTGCAGTGGCTTGAAGACGTGGGACTTATGACTACGTATCAGGGTGATAGGTGACACATCGGGTTGACTTGCTGACCGGGGCTCGTTAGTGTTTACTTACTCCAAGGCTAACCTTAAATCTGAAAAACGGAACGTGGTACTTCCCCCGACGAAATATATACTTTGCGCGTTCATTGTACGTTTCTTTCTATCACCGCATCGTTGTCACATCGATCTGGAAGTAGATGGGACCTAAGTTGAAATCCCATAGTCACTTCGCCACCGACAACTTGTTTCCGTTTACGTCCTACCCATAGCAGTCCAGTGGCACTATGTGTTGACAAAAGCAGGTGTTTTTCCAAGTCATTGAGGTGTTAAAGCTTTGCGGTCATCAAGCCTGGAATCTTACCTCATAGCTTACTGGCAGACACATAATCGCCGACTGCAACCAGCAACCTTGTCCCGTGTGTTTGTTCACAAACGGTTACATTTTCTCTTTTCTCTAATTGGTTCCTTCTAGGCCGCCAAGAAAATGAAGCGGAAATCGTAACTGGAGAGACCATGACTTCACCATTACTGCACTTTCATTTTTCTCTCATGCTTATGTTCTTTCAGTGTTGTATTCCAATAGTCCCTCCGCGGCTGTGTACATTCGTCCACTTTTTGATGTTCACTATCCGGTTCACACATTCCTTCATTTTTATAATTGATTTTGTGTTGTTTTATGCCACAAGATTTCATTACTATTGTAAAGCTGATTGTTCCCGTATTCGGGGGGTTCATGGATACCAACAAGTCCTAGTGCAAGCCAAGCTTCATCCTCTTGTCGCCTCGAATAAGATAGCCGGAACGAATCAACACGAGCACGGTTTTGTGCGGACCTCAACATTCCATGGCTTTATCAAAAGTCTTGCCCACGCGTAAGCTTTCTCTAACCACGTTCCCCATATCACACGATGGAGCTGCTGTCACAGGCTAGGTGTACTAAAGGGTTTTAAGTAGACAAGTAGTCGTCGAGCATCTTCTACTCGTTATGGCTACTTATCATAATTATACAGTAGTGTAATACATATGCTTGCATATCACATCAAGAACTTGATATAACACGAATGCTATATCGATGCTACGGCATTTGAAATGTATTGACATCCACCGTACGTTTCCGTTATCATGATACAGATCCGTGAACCGATAGACTGCGATGTGCAACATCTCAGCTTCTAATGAAAGCGCACGTACACTCTCCTATCAGATTCGAGACAGTAAATACTTTGTGAGGTGTCATACCGGTGGGGGCCGCGCCGTTTTTGTTTACACGCATTAATCACTACATCACGGTGTCACATGTGTATTGTTGACAGAGCAGTGTTCTGTTTGAGTGTAGATGCGCGAAATATGAAGAGCTGCCTTATTATCACTCTAAACGATTGGTTTGCGCCATCCAATCCGCAACTTTTCTTCTGTCGCCAAAACATCTAGCGATAGTACCAATTACAAGTGCAGCGCAATTGGACACTAAATGTCTGATAGATCTGTATACAAACGGACCATATTAACTAACCAATACATGACTAGTTAATGAATTATCATTCAATATTTCCTTTCAGGATCAACTATCCGTGATCTGTTCTGTCGAAACATAACCATAAGATTTGGCTCGTAAATTGAATGAATGATCGTTCCACAAAGGGGAACGTATCCCGCCCGTCAGGAAATATACCCACTACTTTATTTAATACAGCAGCTTATTGAAGTCTGCGGCAGTTGCTAGAACCGCAGAGGGACAATAGCTGTGCATTCGGCTCAGTCGGGGTACTTGTGCAAAAAAGTGTTCCCATAAATTGTGTGAACATTTTACTTGCGTCCGGGTGTACGTTGACCTGCCAAATCTCTTTCCGACAACATTGTCCATGAACTTTACCGAGAGGCGTAGCGAGCGTCTCTCGATTGGCAACAGTTAAGTTATACCCGTCCTCGATCAGGCAAGTCTGCCAGGATGTCCTGCGTACTTAACTTTCGCTCTCTTTCATCCTAATGACACCGAGCTTCAGTGAAACAATATATGGGCCGCCATGTGTAATGCGGGAGTCTGGTTGTGGCACTATTAATCGTTGCCGCACCAGTCACTCGATATCCGAGAAGTCGATGAACCTAGTGGAACAGTAGGGCCCAAAAATTGGAGGAGGCGAGAGCGTTAAGCAGTTATAATAAGCACTTCCAGCTGGTCCGAACCAGAAAACCAGGTATCAGTGAGACAATCAGAGACAGCGCGGGTGCAGTGATACACTTTTGAGATTATTTTGGTTGGCCCCCTGTTCCCGGGCCCCTTCCCACTCAAGTGGTGAAACCTGAGCCATGATCGGTTCGTTTAGAGACACAGTGACGCGTCTGTTGTCATCTCTTAGCCTGACCACATTTTTAAAGTGTTTGGTGCTGAGTTATCTGTGGAGCAATGGCTGATTATGACGCGGGGCAGTGAAAGCCGCAGGAAAGCAGTCTCACTGATGCCGCCTTATCTTCGCACGATGACCAGCTGTTTGTGATGATACGTTGTTGATAATATGTAAGCACTGTGACTTCGAATGTTTAGATTTCTAAGGTTTTGCGTCAGTTCTCCTTCTCTCTGTAATTGTGAAGCATCAGTTCAAATGACTGATGTATTGCTGTTGATGGTAACCGGAGTCTCCATAGAGGGCGCAGGGAGCAGATGACGCCGTAACCAATGTGCAGACGAGTGGTGGACAAGTAACCATATTGCGGTGTGCTGGGTCCAAGGCACATCGTCTCCCTAAATGTAAAGACATCCTTGTGATCAGCCAATTACGTAGCTCTGTCGGGTAGAGGTATCACAGTGGCGCTATGACGGAAACATGATACCCTGAATCGGATCCTGTTGTATTCGTCCGCGAAATTTAGCCATTAAAAACTGGAACCTAATTTGAATTGGCTTAATGGTTAGAAAAACGGAGTAAAAATTGGTTCGGGATTATTTAGGTCAGATCGGGTCGGAGACACTAGCGCCGCGGTAGTTTCTGTTTCTATGGAGTGGTTTCTGGCTATTAGTTTACCTTCCGAAACGGAAGCGAGATTTAGGCGCTGATGATCGGATAATTAAAGTCGCTACCAGAGGAATGCTGTGATAGCACTATTGGCGCATTTCTCTGGCTTGTGAATGAATGCAATTTTCAGGTGAACAGTGGCATTCGCGTGTAATCTTGGAGGCAACTATACAAGGGTTGATCGGCAAGACGGCTGATATCAGCAATTCTGCATAATCAGATAAGTAGCAGTCTCACATGCTGACATTCTTTGTGCAAAAAGCTGACGTGAGATGAATCATCATAGCCGGGGTGCCTGTCTGAGGTCTAAGTGTGCAAGTCAACTCAGCTCAGTTTATTTGTGTACCGAGGTGCGGTGGATACCTTTCTTATGTCTTGGTAATAGTAAGGGAAAATCCTCAGATGTATGGCTTAAAAGTAAGGAATAAAGGAAACAATGCCACTGACTTCGTGGTTCCCCTATCCATTAGTGCATCTTACCATTAATGTACTTGATCCCGAGAACTTACCTTATCCAGATAGCCGGTGAGTGGTAACCCTACTTGGCTTTTCGGCGAGTTTCTTTATACGCTTTTATTGTGATACTGACTGACCTCATCGGGTTTCGTCTAACTAGGCGCAGTACTAGCAAACAATACGCACCAGCGCCACCGACTTTCAGTTACACGACCAAAACCGAATCCAACAGGCTCCATATGAGGTAATATAGGGCCCGTTGCCGAACACCAGATGTGTTATTTACTTGGCTATGATACTTGGATAACATTCAAGAAATTAGCGAAATGTGTAAGTGCGCTCAATGGACCCTCAGCGAGAGCGAAAGTTAGTCAGACTCACCGATTCGTCTTTCACACCACCGCGATGTGACGCAGTGAGTGGGTTGGATGTACTTGCGATGAAACCGACATCACCATGCTTTTCACAGGAGGTCCTCCAGTGAGTTTCAAAGGTCTGAATTACGGTTACTAATAATGAATCGCTAGCTGTACGCCATAACGGCGCTTCGCTGCCACGCGACCCCCACCAGTGGCGCGCGAGCTGAGCATACCACGAGGATGCCCACTCCTACGCGGATTCGAACAGGTAACATTATAGTGTCAAACCAGGCGCGCAGACCACCCAGTCACCGGCTGATAGTTTGCAACTGTCATTTAGAATACACATGCGCTTTGTGCTGGAGAGTCTGGCGCGGAATGTCATAGACGGTCACGATGGTGGAAGGTCGGTAGGTCCAAGGAGCCTTGCTCCTCTTCAACAGCACCAGCTCGTGCCGGTTCTGATACGCGGGTTGTTGAGGTAACGTTATTTGATTTGCGCCTTAAGGGGCCCGGCCCAACGTCATAGTCAACATGATTGAGAGCGCTGACCATATCACTCACAGGAAACTTTCTTGGTACAACATTCTGGTGTTCATAGTTACGCTATCTTTCACCATGTCATGAGCCCCAGTTACTTGGCGGCATTCCGGGTTCATTCCAAGACTCTTAATCCATTGAACGGAACCATAATACATGCCTTGATCAGGTTTAATGAAACTGGGTAGACAAGCTATGTTGAATGCCTTTTGCAAAGCACACTGGAGGATATTCGGTTCGTCCGTTATGTTCATCATCGACAAGTGAAGCCGCTTCGCGGATCGTAAACACAGTTGGCGAACGGGCGCATGCTCAATTAGTGAACGAATGAAAGACCGATGTATGCATGCAAACTTCAACGGTGGAGCAGATTGTGGGACTTAGGCTTATTTTATGTTACCGACTGAGTGGGGCACAATCTGTGAGCGTTTCGTCATAGGTCTGTGTTGAATAAACAGAATCTTTTTGACAGGATTAAAGTGGTTTTTAGTCACAACGCAACCCATTGGCTTCAAGCATGAAGACGACAGTGTGCTGATTGTATTGAATAAATATACAAGTGTACATAATAAAATCGGTCGGTAGATCATGTCTTTCTACCGGCAGGCGTCCAATGATCGATCAGAGTTTCCTAGGTGAATAAACGAAAGGGAAAAAGCCTGTTACTATGTGCTGTAGTCAGTGAGAATGACAGATAAAAATAATTTTTCATTGCTATTGCTTCACTTATTTGGTTACTAATGTTATGAAGACATTGCTGACAAGGTGTAACATTGGAACGCTGTGGATTTCGCGCGAGAGCAGTTAACAACCAGTTTGATGCGATGATGAGAGAACGGATAAACGATACACTAGTCATGTGCCGAGGCTCAGTGCCACGCAGTCGACTGGCTGTGTGTGCATGAAAGATGCAAGCGGTAAACGGTTGTGACAAAAACAATCGTTGAATTCTATGGTAAAATTCGGTGTTTTAGGGACAAGCGTTTATTCGGCAAATACAACAGCATGTTTGCTAGGCCAAACTCACTGATATAAATTGCCCGTTCACGTCCATAATTAACGACCGTTCTGGGCCGATGAGGTTCCTCTTTTGATCCAGTTAAACAAACGGTGAGTAACACAAATGTCGGTGGACCCGTGTCTAATAATTGCATCATTCGCACCCGTCTTCCAATGGTTCTCTGGCTCGCTCGCTCATATTCCGCCTTGTCCTTGCTCCTCCATAGTGCTAGGTACTCCGTAGACTTTGCCACTCCGCGTCGCCTTCGCTGTATCTGCCGCAGTGGTCACCTTGCTCCATGCCATGGGGCGCTCCATCATTAATCCACATAATTTCTTCTTAGCGCTTTCCCTCCAACATTTATTTTATATAACCTTGCGCCGGCCCTCACAATCACCACACCTTACTTCCACCGCTCTTGATCGCTCGGTACTGGTTGAATTGTTAACTCAGGTAGTGACCGCGCACTGCGGTCTTAGTACTGTTTCTGAGTGGTCATCCATCTTTTCAGAGTGTACTGTAGTGTTGTATGCTGTGGTGAAACTGGGGGCAAAAGTGTGGCAGATGCCGGCATCAGATTTCCAGTCCTCCGATTGTATAGGCGCTGCGATGGGTTCAAATCGATATCCGTTGAAGGAGTGTTGCGATTCCCCAGTAGCATGAGGTACAAGTCTTTGTCAGTGACTCTAGCTTTTTATAACAGCCGTTTGGCCTGCTGACTCTGTCTTTCCATTCGACTGGCTCGAAAGCAACGCTGGTAAACTGGGGATTATTGTCGGAGACCAGCTCTTCCGGCATTCCGTGAAGCGCGAATTGTTATCTGAACTTGCTGAGTACTGATTCTGCTTCATTGGAGTAATCCATTGTGAGTAAGTAATCTTTCCCTTTGTCACAGAATAAATCCACCGCCACCTTCTGCCAAGGTCGGTCAGGGACATCATGCAGCATAATTGGTCCCTTCGTTTGCCGGATTTCGTGTGAACGGCACGCCTCACAATTCGATACATGATCTTTGATTTGACTCGTCATTCCTGGCCAAAAGAGCAATTCTCTTGCTCGGTTACTGGTATAGTTAGCACCCAGATGAGCGGGATTAACATATTTCAACATCTCTCCACGGAGCGATGACGGGCTTCCCTTGAATGGCAAATGATCACAGACAGAGAGTTCATCACGAAAACTGAAGTAGAATGTTAGTTCCTTCGGTAGCTGCTTCATTGTCTGGCCACTCACTTAAAATAACGTCCCGCAAAGCTGAAAACGTTGCACCACCCTTTGCGTGGTGCCTTGTTTCTTTTAGACGATCTTCCGTTACTGCCAGATGCCGTACTAAGTTGACTTCTTCGCTCTCTCCCAGATTATGCTCGGACACTAGCAAATGAGTTCTTGACAGCGTATCCGCGATGAACATGTGTGCACCAGGCGTTTGCACAACAACTATGTCGTACTTTTAAAGCCGGATAAGCATACGCTGAGGAAGACGAAGAACGATGTGCGGCGAGTTATTAGCTATCGGTACAAGCGAAAGTATAGTTGTTGAAATGCTCCACGGCATAAACTATCGCAAGCATCTCCTCAATCTGCGCATAACGCTGCTCGGTCAGTGATTGCTCGACTGGGAGAATCCAAAGGTTTTCCATTCTGTAAGAGAACAGCCCCTTTTCCGTCCTTGTTGCTGTGACACTGTACCTCCGGAGGCTACGTTGCATCGTAGTATCCGAGCACAGGTGCGTTACTGATAAGCTGCTTAATGGTTGCAAATGCAGTTTCCTGTTTTACTCCCAACTCCACTTTACTCGTTTGTGAGTTAGCTTTCTGATCGGCGTCATGATATCAGCAAGTATTGGAATAAAACTGCCCAGATAATTAACCATCCCGTCTAAACGATGGGTTCCCTTCACGTCGTTAGACGGAGGCATCTCTCGTATTGTCCTGACTTTTCCTGAATCGACCCTGATTCCTTTGGTTGTTAGTAGCACATGCCCATGGAAAATCACGTCGTGCCGAAGCTCAAATTTTTCTCTTTTAAGCTTGCTGTTCTGTTGTGCACAACGCTGCAAGAAACGGTGGAGATTCGTGTCGCTCCCTTCTATGGTCGAGCCGTAAACAAGACATCGTCCGCCACAAATGTTACGCCATCTAAATCGTCTACCGCTTACACCAACCGTTTTCGAAACTTTCTACTGGAAACCTCCAAACCAAATGGTAAACACAGCCAAGGATAACGTGGCAAAGGTTGTAAGGAAACTGGATTCCTCGTCTAGAATAAAGTACCAGAATGCGGAACACAGATCTACTTTCGTGAAATAAGTGGCTTTGGCCAAACTCGGCAAAATGTCTACGAGTGTCGGTAGAACATAATGCCCTATACACAGGGCATCATTCAACGGTTTCCGGTCAGCATACACGCAAAGTTTCCACATCACTTTCATAATGATTGCGAGTTGACTAATCCATTTGGATGGCTCATCAATTTTCGTCATCACACCCTCCCTCAGTAATTTACGCAATTCAGCGGAGAACTCGTAACACAACGCAAATGAAACTCTCCTAGCCGGTAGTGCAGTCGATTGTATCTAAGGATCTAATGACAAGTGAGCGGTTCGCACAAATTTCCCCAAACAAGGGCAAAACACAGGACACTAATGACTAATATCGGTTTCTCCTTGGCAAGTATGTACGAAACGATCATGAGTAAAAATAACAAAACCAAGAGGCAATGGAATCTGTGCCGAGAATCGGCGTGAGCTCCTCCACAACCACAAACTCCAGTCGATATAAGGATCCGTCTCATGGGCTAACCACTTCGATTGTAGCTGAATCCTTCAGATGAAGTCTGGACCCATCCAACATGTGCAGGCAGTCTTGATCGGATAGGATGTACACACCGGGACAGTGTTTCCCTGGTAGAATATTGACGGTAGCATCCGTGTCTAAATGGAATCGTACGGCTCCGCCTTCGATCAAAATACTTGCGTATACATATTTTTGTGTTACCTTCCAGATACGTTGCCAATTGAATGTGCTGCATCTGCGGGGGACTTGTCATGAACGATCGCATTCACATTGGCTGACTGACAGCAACAAGAAAAGCGGTTTCTTTTTCCACATTCGGTACATTTCCGCCCCTTTGCCAGACATTGTTCGCGGCTGGTCGGGAGTCTCGGCGCAAAATTTGCAGATCTCGTGTGTCCCGATTGTTACTCTCGTGGTTTTGTCCCCGGAAACAGCACATAGTTCTGCGTCAGTTTCGAGTTTCATTTGGTGATAACGACACGGTTGAGGACTCACTGGTGCAGATATGGATGCACTTCTGGAGCGATAGGTTGCGTTGTCGCAAAAGCTGTTTATTGTACCTTCATTGTTGATTCCTAGGACACTGATATGGTGTATGAGACTGTCGCTTATGCATTTACAGAAATTGCAGTATCAAGACAAATTCTTCAGCACAATGACGTACGCGTCGGATTCATTGGGGTGCCCTCTTCTTGAAAAGTAAAGATATCACTGGTAGGTCTCCTTGGTCTGGCTTCCGCAATACTCAATGAACTTTTCAACGACCGTCTACAAATCACTGGAATCTTCGTCTTTGTCCTAGTGCAATGTCTCCAGCACACGGCGCGAATCATCCCCGGCTTCCTGTCGAAACAAGGCCAAATGATACGCCATCGGTTGTTCGTCCAAATGCATTAGTGTGCAGAAATCCATCCACTTACCTTTCCATGGAGGCCAATTAATAGCTGTTCCGTTCAGGCATGTCTAATGGGATAGGCATCTGAACACCTGATGGTGATTCAATTGGCATCCGAGTGAGGCCGATGGAGTTCGTCTTGATCATCTCTAACACCATGTTGCAGAACTCGGTCATTCGGGAACAATGATTTATTCGGCAGAGACAAGTTCGAAAAGTCAAACTCCTCTATATAAATTGTCCGTACACGTCCATAACTCATCATCACCAACAGCAAAAAAACAGTAATTAGAACCGAGCCTTCGCTGCCATACAACCATAACGACCAACGGAACGAAAAATAATAAGAAGGAAAGAAGCGAGACTTACCGGAAAACCTTAATGTTCTAAGAAACATTCAGTGTTAGCTCGCCCTACACTTTATCAACAACAAACCATCGCAAATAGCTGGCTATCGTGCAAAGATAACGCGGAATTGGCGAAACAGCTTCCTTGAGGCTTTCATTGCCCCGCGTAATAATCAGCCAATACACCGCAGATAACTCAGGACCAAACACACGTTAACCAGACAGTCCGACTAGGAGACGGCAGCAGACGTGCCACTGGTGTCGAATGTGAGTCATGTCCTGTAAATTCTCGAGCCAAGCACAAGCGAGTCATGTGGAATCCAGCCTGGAGGGCAAGACGGCACCGAGTTTGGTCGTCACAGATTTCATTCCCAACTGGCAAAACTTTTATCCACTTCGAGCCTTGCGCCAGCTTACACTTAGCTGATAAAACCAGGCCCTCCACGGTAAGCATTGACCGGGCATACGTAGTACGTGCCAAAGTCAATACAACTTATTCAGTGCTATCTATTGTTCTAAGGAAATAGCTTGAGTTTCACTGCTTAGTACTCGCTTACGCACATCATCGTTGCGGACATGCTGGTGCACCGCAGACAGCCATGGTCAGAGATCTGAAAGCGCCTCAGATCGAAGGGGCCAAGTCTCACTCCCACAGAGTTGGCCTTGTAAACACGTCCTTTCAGACGGAGGGCAACCACTTTCTGAGGCCATGGATGTCGCAGATTCAAGAAGGCAGTTCTAGCCTGAACAGCACATGAGCTGACTTCAGTGGTGATGCGCCTATCGTTGTAGATGCGGGTGCCAAGATGAGTGAATAGATCAACTACCTCGAGCTCCTCGCTATCAAGAGTCCAGAGGTCATTAAGTGGCTAGTGGTCCTGCATCAAAATCTTGCACTTTGAAAATGCGAAACGCACACCAAATAATGGGACCACTCTAGACAGTCTACTCACGGTTGATTGCGCAGCCCGAACATCGTTAAACAGCAGGACGATATCGTCCGTATAATCAAGATCAACTAGTCTTTCATCAGGCAGCACCTTAACACCTGCATCCTGAAATTGCTTAACTGAATACTCCATGATGGAGTCCACGACGAAATGGAACAAAAATGGGGAAATCGGACAACCCTGGTGAACACCACTCGTTGTCGCATTATATTTCTCCATCAAGGGAGAATGACGGGATGTGAGCGGACCCAATGTGATGGGATTTCACACCATTCAATCAGACGTTTATACCTTATCAACAATGCACGGTTACAAGCAGCTGCTTGAAGTGCGAAGACAATGTGTTACCAGTGAGAAGTTTTCATTGCGGCCTTCACCGCCGAACTTCGTAATCAATCTTGCCCCGCATATGGCTCAGCAACAAGCACATCTTAAACAGATAATCCGGCTAGACGACCACAGGAAGCATTCCACCGGTGCTGTGAAGCGTCATGCCAAGAAGAGGGTATGTCACATAAATCCGTGCCTGGAAGATGAGACGGACTAGCAGCATCCAATCATGCACTAAGCTACCTCGAGTCTTACGCTATCACACATCCGGTAAACAAAACAAGGCTCTCCTCGTGTATGGGTGCATGTAGCACGTGCCAGAGACGGTGATCATCACCGACGAGTAGTCACCTCATCGTCGCGAGCCAGCTCGTAACACCTGACCGCAACGGCGGTCAAGGAATTGAAGTCTTCTGAGTCAGAGATCAAAGGAAGTCAAGTCTTACCCTCACCTTGCCTACACAACCAGTAAGATAGGTGAAATTCCCTGCTGGTGCCAAAAGCGTAACTAGTTCAAGAATACAGTTCTGGACAAGCAAGCCTCAAGCACTAGCGCGGCAGCCCTATCATGTCACCAAAAGCACATGATACGGAGTGAAACGGTACCTCAAAGTAATTTCACAAACATGAGTTGGCGATTAGCCTAATTATGAGTAGCACTCCTTTTCCAAAGGAAAACTGCGCAAAAGCCGGTCGTCAGTATCCAGGTGAGTGGAGGCAATGCTTTATCTGAGGAATACCTGCAAACACGCATGAGCACCGTGAACATAAAACACTAGTTATCACTGAGCACTCTCCGAGGGTTTCAAGAATCACAAAGCTATGTGGGTAGATGGTTAGGATGAATGAAAGCGTATTATTGCAATGGGCATCCCGAGCGGACAATGCTTAAAAACTAATGAACGTACTTGGATTTTCGCCTGTCGAACTGCGTTCCAAGGAAAACTTTCAAAATCTGTCAGGTCCGGAAGGCTAACACGACATAAGATAAGCCGCTGGAATGAGAGAAGATTACGGCTGGAATCCGCACCAAGTTAACAGAGGGGTGTGTTACGAAATTGATTAAGTGGATGACATGTAGATACTTTTAAATGCGAAAGCAAACAGAGACCAAGCGGTGTTCTGAACTCGTTTTCATTTGGCTTGCTAAAAACGTATCAGTGAATACTGCCACGAAGTGGTAGCTGATATGCGTCATGTCGTACAACATAGTTGCAATCGTTAAAATTTGAAAGGCTGAATTTGTTCTATCGGTCGCTCGGTATTCATTCCCAATTGGTTGCGCACAGTGAAAACGTCTACAAAACGTCTGCTCCCGCGATGCCGGAGTCTCGATTACTGGCTAGTGAAAAATGCCAATTTTGCTGACGGGGACGCGGCTCAGTCTTCGTGACGGTACGAGATCTAAATGGTGGCTCCATCGTGGAACTAGCCACCGTCCTGCGAACGCATGGTGTACATGTTTCTCAAATTTATCAGATCGGTCTGCTAACAACCACAGGTGCCGTACGAACCTGTGGTGTATGTCACATCAGGCGTTTAAGCGTCACAATTATAGTGTATAAATGACAATGATTCATCAACTTATGTTTGTCATGTGTGTCATTCCTAAGATAACACTGATTAAAATCCTCTTATTTCAGGTTGCATTTAATCGGGTCAAAGCAGTAAATATTCCCGGCAAGGTGAAGGCCACTCATAATCTCTGTGGATAGCTTACGGTTACAGTGAAGGACTAAACAGGAAACATACTGCGGGCATAACAGCTAGTAAATCTAATGAAACGGCGAGTCTAAACCTGAGTAAGCGGTTTACGTGCAGTCAGTCACATAGCGCCAAAGGCGTGTCCGTTGCCATGGCAAGAACTCACCTTACCGACCGAATGTGCAACGCGGACATGAGCAGCAATCGATGCACAAGTGAGCTGACGACTGACGTTGTCGGTTCGATCCACCACAACACCGAAGGCTGCATGCCGCCACGCTGGACCGTTTGCATACAGCAAGAAGTGCATGCCACCTAGAGCGAGGCCAGGGCGAACGATCCAACCACGAGAGCGGTAATACAAGTAAGCGGCATATCGTCTGAGGAAGTCGAGTTCCATCTCTCGGAATTTCGGGTCTGTCACTCTAGTTTGCGTGGGGTGTAAGAACGGCTCGGAAGTGCTTGCACCGGAGCAAATGTAATACCACAAACGTAGCTGAAATGTCGGCAAAATGAAGGAGGATGAGGGGATAGGCTGGAGACCTGACACTGACAATATTCTAGCAAGCTATCTGGGTTCCTATGTTGCACATTGTGTGCGCTAAAGAGCACATGCAGGACAGTGGAATGTGTCATTCTGCTACGAGAGACTTCTTGTATATAACAGCAGTCCAGAAGCCTATGTTGTTCTTTAATATGAACAGATTTGATCAAATAAAACATACGAAGGATAAAAATCACACCGTCTGCCTGAAAAATGTGTGGTGACACGCCACATTGTCCCACTCGCATTATACCATCGATAAGAGACGTTTACAGATCAAATCATACATCTTGGTTAAGACTCAGCCAACATCAGTGGGTAGGGAGGGTTCCGAAACCAAATTGAAAGCGTGGTCACAATTATAAGTAGGGTAACAGATCGCTGTCGCGCAAAAGTAAGAGTTGCTTGAAAGAGGGGAGAATGTGATAAAAACTGAGCCAGAGTGATGATTCCATCCGCCATGGACCAGGTAACCAAAAACGGAATACGTAAGGAGTAGGTTACCGAATCTGACCGAACCGATGTACTGATCAAACTATGAAGAACTGTCATTTTCCAACCAGTTGGGTGTGATCAGAACTCTGTGCGTCAAATGTTTTCTTACTTTCAACCATGTGTTAAAAACCTTGTCTCGATGCGGACGCTGCACTGCGATAAGACGCGATGACCAATGGGTTATGCGCAGGAGAATTGGCAGTGCCCATGTAACTACCTGCAGAATTTGATGGTCGTCCTGCGTTAAGGGATTTAGAAAGGTGGGCCACGCTGACCCCAAGCATTGCATGGTAAGTATTCAACAAATGACGTATTATCAGAAAGAAGACCGATAAACTGAGACATTCAGATAGACTAAGCAAGCGTAGCATATTGGCCATTCATTTTGAATGCTGCTAGGAGAAACCGCGGGTGTCTAACGTCACGCAAATGTCCCTAGCATGGACAATACCTCATGGAGATTTCATTTAAGTGGTTAAGACCTCTGTCAGTAAAATACGACGTTTCGGGCCCAAGCACCAGTGTTCGATATCTCAGTTTGAATAGGTATAGACAAGGATGGACGCAGTAGTGTAAGCGAGCAATGCCTGCCATTGTAATGTAGTTTGTTCGGTACAAATGAGAATATGGTCAAGAGGATGGAAGTCCCTCCTATCGAAGTTGGCCTCGGTTGAAGCCGCCTAACACTCTGGTTGGGGTCCGAAAGACGATGAAGACGTCTGGTTGGATATAATTGTTGTGTTGGTGAAGAATGGCTGGCTTGCCAAACAACCTCCTCGTGGTGCCAGCTGGGTGGTTCGGGTTTTTCCCGTTTCAGCAAATGGTTCGGCGGCAGTGTTACAGGACGTGGTGGATTTTCGCCTGGCAAGCCTTCTCCCTATAAAAGCCACAAATGTCTGTTTAACAACACTGTGACGTGGCGGATGTGACTCACCACTAAATAAAGTCACTGCCCCTTGCCCCTCCATGAGAGGCATTGTACTTCAAGGGTGCGTTGGGCCCCTGGTCCTTCACGGACCGAAAGGCATATGTACCATCTATTTGGTCACCGGCTCCCAACGGGTTGCGACGCCCTAACATCGCCCTGCTGCCTTGTAGGTTAGATCTTTGATCAAAGGCTCGGGCCCCCTAAGACAATCCTCTGTGCAACCTGGCCGCTTAAAGAAACGGACCTGAAGAGGCTAGTTACGTTCGGCCACCGGTGCCTTCGTAATTTAGCTCACATCTGGTGGGAACACCGCGTGAGCAACGAGCGTGTTTGACGCCTTGTTTACGGCACAGGAAAAGGGAAGGAAACGCTCAGCACCGTCATTTCACGCACCAGGCTCCGATGGCTCGGCCACGTGTTACGCAGCCAGCCCACCGACTCCCGCGACGTACGTTGTTTGCACGCCGGGGTGTGGATGGAAGAAGAGGAGGGGTGACCAAGCAATGACTTGGTCGAGAGAAATGAAGGCCTTCACTTCGGAGCTGGCCTCGGTTGGAGCGTCTCGGCTCCCTGGTTGGGGTCCGAAAGACGATGAACACGTTTGGTTGGACACACTTGCTGATATGGCTAGGAGCCGACCTCAGTGACGTTCGTGCTGTGAGTTTCTTTGTCCCACCCCATCCCTCTTAGCCTCTCCCTCCAACCACGATCTCATTATTTAACCTTATATAATTTTGCATAGTAATTTTTTTGATGCACAGTAGCCGGCTGGTAGCTTACCGGAACAATGCCCATCCGTTACAGGTAGCTCAGTCAGCTTGCACCAGTTGCATTCTTTTTTCCCCCTTTATCTGTGTATTGCGGCACAGTAGCTGAGGTGTTCCCCACCTCTAGCTAACGTGTATGATGATGATGATCACGCCCACTGACGAATCATGGACCACACTGATAACTACTGCCCCTGCTATGCCTATCTTCTATGCTAACTCAACTGCTCAACCTCCACTCACAAATCACCACACCTCCCATCCTTCACATATATGTACTCATGTCTCCTACGGTCACCGTCACAAACGACCCACGTCTCGCAACTGATGGAAGCAACAGCCAAACTCCCGGTTTTCAATGTCCTGCGATCGCAACCGCCTCTCACTCCACCGAAGTTCCAACTCTTCTTCTACCTGGTTCTCCATTCATCCTGGCAGCGTTTAATGTTCGAACTTTGATGCAGATCGGACGACAAGCATGTCTGGCCCGTACTCTTGAAACGCTTTCGGTAGACATCTGTTGCCTTTCAGAGACCAGATTACAAGACTAGCGCCGTCATCAGAATGGCCTCTCCGGTAAACCCTGACACCAAATACCACTTGCGGCTTTTCGGAGACCCAGATACCGCCGCCACTGGTCAAGCTAGTGTTGGGGTTGCACTGAGTGCCAGGGCTGAATCAGCTCTGCTTGACTGGATCCCAGTCAACAGTCGGCTATGTGCAGTCAGACTACGAGGTTCATGTAACGTAAGCAGGCATCGAAACGTTAAGCGTGCCTTGTTTGTCGTCTCTGCCTACGCCCTACAGACTGCAGTCCGGATGCAGTTAAATATAGCTTTTACAAGCAGCTACATGAAATTCTGCGTTCCTCCAAAAGGACAGATATAGTCAAATATCCAAGTATCCATTCAGGATACGGTCCTCGAGATCGGAATGACCGAGATTTACCTCAAAGTGAGCCGAGGTCTCAATAGAGGTTGCGAGTCGTAACCCATCCACACAGCGTGTTCCCTAAATTCAGCTTTGAATTACCTTCCCCTGTGCCAAGCGTTGCTCGCGGATCTCAATAGCATAGTGTTCATGGCGTCAGCCATGAACTACTAAGCTCTGAGTTCCACCCCAGCTCAGGCTATCTCCACCTGACGAGTCTAAAGCAAGACGAAACCGCGGTCGTCGTGTGCCAGTGTTGCGAAGAGAAACACTCAAATATCCATCCGACGGATATAGTCATTCTTGCCGGGACTTTAAGCCGGGTTGGCCGCCTTCCATCAAGCGAACACCACCTTGGGGGTAGTTTTGATCTCGGTGGCAGTCGATCAGACAATGGAGACAGATTGCTTGCTCTTTGCTCTGATCATCGCTTGTATCTTTCGAGCACTAGTTTTCGGCACTCGAGGAGACACACTGCTACCTGGCGCCCGCCTTCACAAACGCAAGAGTGCTCCCAGCTTGACAACATAGCAATCAGCTACAGATGGCGCAGAAGCGTAACGGACTGCCGATCGTACTGGTCAACTTATCTAGACTCCGATCACGCATTGGTTCGTGCTAAGATTTGTATGCCTTTCGTATGATCACCTAAGCGCACTCACTACCGGCCGGACCTCGCAAATCTACAAAACCCTGCGATTTTAACCAGGTACCAAGCCTCACTGTCAACCTTGCCTGCCTCAACTATTGACGGTGATCTCGATTCGCAGTGGGCGTATATTAAAGATACCTTAGTTTCTGCCAGTATCGACACTTGTGGAGCTACCCGTCACCCACCGAAGCATTGGATTTCCGCCGTCTCCTTGTCGCTGATGGACAAACGCCGCTTGATCCCGTCGGATTCCAGATACAGTGAAGAACGCCAATCCCTTGGTCGAGTTGCGCAGGAGTCTGTAAATGGACCGCAAAGCTAGGTGATGTGAACGTGCTAGGGAGATGGGGTTTGCTAATCTCTGGTAATATCAGAAACTTTTCCACCTCATTCGAGTCGCCGAAGATGTTCGATCTGGTATAAGTGAAACAATATGCGAAGAGGACGGCACCTTAATCACCAATCTTCAACGACGGTTGGAGCGATGGGCCGAACATTTTGGCTCTAGTTTTGTTGGCTCCCAGCTCCATCTGCTACCCCTGGCTGGGGCCGAGTGGTCTATCCCCACAGATCCCCTCTCTTACCAGGAACTCGAGCAGGAGCTCAGGCACATGAAGCGTTATAAAGCCTCCGGCCCTGATGGTCTTCCTCCAGCTCTATTTAAAGATGGCACTTCGCTGGTTCGAGAACTCACCGCTTTGTTCTCGAAAATTTGGTCGAAAGAGAAGGTTCCATCATCTTGGGGTGAATCGATAGTCGTCCCCATCTTCAAAAAGGGCTTGCGCACAATCTGCTCCAACTACAGAGGCATAAGCTTAGTCACCATCGTTTTCAAACTGCTGGTGTCCATCATACTTCACAGGCTATCTCCAACGCGCGAATCGTTGCAACGAAAAGAACAAGCTGGGTTTCGCCCTGGTCGCGGCTGCATCGATCAAATCTTCACACTCCGCCTTGTGTATCAGAGGCGAACGATTGCTGTGTTCCTGGATATCCGTGCAGCCTTCGATTCTGTCGATCGCACGGTACTGTGGCACTGCCTACTGAGGAATGGTGACCCCGAGAAGTTCGTCTTCATACTGCGCGCTCTATATAGTCTGACCTCGGGCAGGGCTAGGGCTTATGCCAAGCTTTCGCCTACCTTTGTGGTCTCCAGTGGCGTTCGACAATGATGCTCTAT